TCGCTCCTTTCCATTAAAAAAAAATAAATAAAGTTTTCAAGTTCCCCAGGAAAACTTGTCAAGAGGGGGGCTCTGAATGAGGAGAAGAGCAGAGTTTCCACGGTGGGGGAAATTTGTGTTGTGGATAAAAGGAAGGAGTGGAGCTCCGGAGAGAAAAAAGGTTTGGTTTGATCTCACCCTGCAAGCACAGCTCCCGTCCTCCTGCCCCCTCTGCAAAGCTCAAATATTCCTGGTGGGAATGCTGAGCCCCTCCGAGGGTGGGAAGGGAACGGGAGCAGCGTCCCAATCCCCAATAAGCAGGAGGAGGATTCGGAGGAGGACTCGGGCAGGCAGCACCAGCAGCATCGCGCTGCAGGATTTACAATTATTTGAGTGCAGGGCTGGGAGAAGAACCAGGATCCACGGGATCTCCCAATCCAAATGGAATCGGGGAATTCCTGGAGCCCAGGGACCCCTGAGCAGCTCCTGCAGCAAAACCTTGCAATTCCAGTGATAGTTCCAAAAGAAAACCTTGTTTCCCCTCCCAAGGCCGTGCTGGCTCCTCACAAAGAGATACAAACCTTGTCCTTCCCCAAAATTCCCAAGGACAGCTGTCCCGAATGGATACAGACTATCCATCCTGACAAGATATTCCTACACGGATTGTTTTCAGTGAAATTGGGGGGGGTTGTTATTAACAGTACACTTCTTTTTTAAACCTTTTTAATGCATTTTGTGCATCAAAGCAGCTCCAGGGCTGGGGGAGAGGCAGCACAGATAAAAATGTCAGCGGTGAGATAGGACAAATTTATAGCAAATCCCTGTCAGCTCCCATTTATCTAAATTATCCAGCTCTGGATTCTCCAGAAACCCTCCACCAGCTCCAGTTTTAAGGCTGTTTTTTACCTCAGAACCCGCTCCCTTTTTCTCTCTGCGCTGCTGCCTCTGTTTTTGGACACTTGTTCTTTCCCCTAAAATGACCCCTTTGTAGCTGGGATCAAAGAGCTGGGAGTGTCAATCCCAGTGTCTTCAGGAACATGTGAAGAACCTCAAAGTAATTGGGAAGCAATTAGCACAAAGCTAAAAAAACCCACCCCGCCGAGGCAGAGCCCAAATGAGCACTAACAGGCACCAGCCCCGCTCAGGGAGGGGTTTCAGGGACTTAAATCACCCCCAGACAACTTTTTGGGAACTTCTGCACAGCCCACTCTGCCTTGAGTTTTTTTTTTTTGGCTTAATTTTTATTATTATTATTTATTATTATTTATTTATTTTTCATTCCTCTCTACTCCGGGTTCACTCTCTGCTTTCTGCCTCGCTGCAGCTTACGGGAAACACGAAACCCAAAACTGCTTTTCATTCTCTGTTATGTAAAGCTCAGCCAGCCCGTGCCTCGGAGAGCCCAGGCGCTCGGCAGCTGCTCAGATGCTCCCGCAGATAAAACCAGCGGGGCCAGGCCTCACCTCTCCTCCTTGGACATCGATCAAAGCGGCCCCGGCACCGCGCCTGGCGCGGGGGAAACGCGGGGACATGGACCCGCTGATGGTGGAAAATCGCCCTGGGTTCGTTCTGTGGGGCAGAACGGCCCCGTTTGGTGCCTGTCCCCAGGAGGGGACGGGGCTGATGGCACTGGACACCGGCAGGAGGATGTCCTGAGGTGGCCCAGGCTCAGCTCCAACCAACCCAGAGGAGCCTGAAACCCCTGGGTCTGCTGCCAGTGCTCCTTTCCTAAACCTTCCCCTGGATTGGGATGGGGCACCCTGGAGATGTGGGATCCATTCCTGGAATCCCAAACTGGATTGGGATGGGGCACCCTGAAGATGAGGGATCCATTCCCAGGATCCCAGATCCATTCCCGAAATCCCAGACTGGTTTGGAATGGAGACACCCTGGAGATGTGGGATCCATTCCTGAAATCCCAGACTGGATTGGGATGGGACACCCTGGAGATTCAGGATCCATTCCCAGGATCCCAGAGTGGTTTGGGATGGATGTGCCCTGGAGAACTTGGGATGTTTTATCCCAATTCCCAGAGATCCAAAGTCTCCCCACTCCCATCTCCCCCTCAGGCAGCCCATTCCTCACCAGGAAAGGAACTGGCATCCCATAAAATCATAAAATTCCATAAAACATCCCCAAGAGCCTGAAAAGGCTGGACAGAACCTGGGCTAGGCTTAGAGCTCAGGACCTAAACCAGGCCTGACCTCGGCAACTGATCCTAAAATTCTCACACCTTGGATCTGCCCCCAGTCCCCTCCTTAAATCATTCCCAGGATCCCAAACTGGATTGGGATAGGACACCCTGGAGATGTGGGATCCATCCCCAGGATCCCAGACTGGTTTGGGATGGAGCACCCTGAAGGAGTGGGATCCATTCCTGAAATCCCAGACTGGTTTGGGATGGAGACACCCTGGAGATGTGGGATCCATTCCCAGGATCCCAGATCCATTCCTGGAATCCCAGACTGGTTTGGGATGGAGCACCCTGCAGAAGTTGGGATGTTTTGTTCGATATCTGCAGCGATCCACGCCCGTCTCTCCCTCAGGACAGCGTCAGGCAGCCTTTTCCTCACCAGGAAGGGAATTGGGATGAACAATCCCATAAAACATCCCAGGAGAGCCCGTCCTGCCCCGCAGCCGCCACCACGCCAAGGTCCAGCTCTCAATTAACCCCCGCCTGACCTTCCTTCACTTTCTTTCCCCCTGCTCTGCCCTTCCTGCCAAAGTTCAGCGTTTCCTGGAAAAGTCTCCGTGCCTGTTGGATGTTGTCCTTCGCCTTGGTTGCCGAGGGAAGGATTTGCAGGATTTACAGGTGCCTGGCCCCCTCTGGAAGCCCGTGACCGCGGGCTGACCCCCCGGTACAATATGTGAACTCCTGCCCTGCTGATAAGGCTGCCAGATAGGAGCAGGAGTTTGCAAATAATCCTTTGGGAATTTATAAGCAGCGCAGCCATAAAACCGAGGTGACTGGAAGGTCGATTTCACTAAAAATAATAAATATCTCAATGTTTATTCAACGTGGGCCTTTTCAACTGCGGGCCAAGCTCCGAGATAACGCTATTGTAAATGACAAATATTGGGAGTTTTGGGGAACTATTACATTATGATCCTTCCCCTCCGTGCTCTGCAGGATCTCTGACATTGTTCCACCCGAGCCGGGCCTGGAAATCCAGGCAGGATTCAGGCCCAGGTCAGGAAAAGGGCAATTTGCTGCTCAGGGAGTTGTGGTTTTTTAATTCCCGCTGCTCCCAATTCCCTAAAACGCCTTCCCTGGAGCTCGGCTCCCGTTCCTGCTCCGTGCCAGCGCTCGTTCCCGTTGTTAGGGCGCTGGGATGGGAGCGGGGAGCGGTCCCTGCTCCGGGTGGAGCTGAACCTCTCCAGGGAATCTCTGAGGTGGGAAAAGTCCTCTGGGACCTGAGGGCACCGCTGCCCCGTGTCCCCGAGCGTCCTGCAGGAATCCCTGCTGGAAAAGCCTTCCCAATAAGGAATTTTCCCCAAATCCAACCTCTGATCCCATCCCTGCTGCATTCCCAGCTCCAGAACGGCCAATCCCACCTGGATCCATCCCACGGATCTGCCCGTGGATCTGCTGCTCCCCCGACACATTCCTGACACGAACGGCACCAGAATCGGCCAATTCCACCCTAAAATTCCCCCATTCCCATGGAATAATTCATTTTCCTTGGAGGAAACAGCACCAGAATCCAAACAATTCCTACCCAAAACTCGCCCATTTCCATGGAATAACAAAATTCCTGCATCCAAACAAGGACTGTTGGAGCAAACAGCATCAGAATCCAAACAATTCCACCCCAAAATTCCCCAATTCCCACAGAATAATTCATTTTCCTTGGGGGAAATGGCACCAGAATCCAAACAATTCCTGCCCAAAACTTCTCCATTTCCATGGAATATTCCCGGATCCAAAGAGGAATCCTTGGAGAAAACAGCATTAGAACCCAATTATTTCTTCCTCAAACTTTCCCATTTCAATGGAGTAACAAAGTTAATGGATCCAAAGAATTCTTGGAGAAAACGGCACCAGAATCCAAACAATTCCTGCCCAAAACTCCCCCATTTCCATGGAATATTGAAATTCCTGCATCCAAACAAAGATTGTTGGAGCAAATAGCACCAGAATCCAACCGATTCCGCCCCAAAATTCCCCAATTCCCACAGAATAATTAATTTTCCTTGGAGGAAACGGCACCAGAATCCAATTCCTGCCCAAAACTCCTCCATTTCCATGGAATAATGGAATTACTGGATCCAAACAAAGATTGTTGGAGCAAATAGCACCAGAATCCAACCGATTCCGCCCCAAAATTCCCCCATTTCCACAGAATAATTCATTTTCCTTGGGGGAAATGGCACCAGAATCCAAACAATTCCTGCCCAAAACTTCTCCATTTCCATGGAATATTCCCAGATCCAAAGAGGAATCCTTGGAGAAAACAGCATTAGAACCCAATTATTTCTTCCTCAAACTTTCCCATTTCAATGGAGTAACAAAGTTAATGGATCCAAAGAATTCTTGGAGAAAACGGCACCAGAATCCAAACAATTCCTGCCCAAAACTCCTCCATTTCCATGGAATAATGGAATTACTGGATCCAAAAAAGGATTGTTGGCGCAAACAGCGCCAGAATCCAACCGATTCCGCCCCAAAATTCCCCCATTTCCTCAGAATAATTAATTTTCCTTGGAGGAAATGGCACCAGAATCCAAACAATTCCTGCCCAAAACTCCCCCATTTCCACGGAATAACGGAATTCCTGCATCCAAAGAGGAATTTTCGGAGGAAAATCAAACAACTAAGAAATATAAAGACATTAAAAATTCAGGATTTGGGACAGCTGGACAAAATTCCCTTTGCAAAATTTCCGTGGAATTCCACAGATTTTCCCCAAATCCATCCATCCCTGTTTTTTTCCCTCCCTCGGGGACGCGCATTCCGGATGAACGAGGGAGGAGCGGATCCACGGAATTCCCGGGAGCGGGAAGATCCCGGATTGACTCACCAGGACGGAGTAGATGTGGAGGCATCGATAGACCGGGGAGAAATCCACCAAATCCTGGGCTCCGGGCACCTGAAACAGGGAGAAAATCCATGGAAAATGTGGGAAACTCACCAAAATTCCACGGAAAAGGAAGCAGAACTCCAAGAAATTTAATTATGGGTAAATGGAGCAATAAAAAACCAAAGAAAAACGAGCAAAATCCTAAAAAAAATCACATTTTAATAGGTTTGTCGCTACAAAAAATCACATTTAGGTGAATGAAACTGCCAAAAAAAATTAAATTTTAGTGAGTGTAACTCAAAAAAAATCTCATCCAGGTGGGTGTAATCCATAAAATTTCTATGGATAAATAAGGATGCCTCAAAAAAATGCGAATGTGGGAAGGGAAATCCGGAAAAAAAATCAAATAAAAATGAATTCTCCTCTAAAAAAATCATATTTAGGTAAATGAAACGATTACAAAATCATAGAAATCGCAGTTTTATTATAAATTATATAAAAATAATTTATCCAAATATTTTAGCAAGAATTACATAGATCCAAAATGCCATTTTTAGGTGAGTTTAGCTCTAAAAAATTCAAATTTAAATAAATTCCACTCTAAAAAATGACTTTTAGGTGAATGAAAGGGTAAAAAATCGCACCTAAATCAGTTTAATTCCAGAAAAAATCACATTTAGGGAATATAACTCTTAAAAATTTCAAACCTAAACAAATTCCACTCTAAAAAATTACATTTAGGTGAATAAAACAATTAAGAAATCACATCTAAATCAGTGTAACTCAAAAAAAAAAATCAGTTTTAGGTGAGTGTAACTAAAAAAATTCAAATTTAAATAAATTCCACTCTAAAAAATGACCTTTGGGTGAATGAAAGGGTAAAAAAATCACACTTAAATCAGTGTAATTCCAGAAAAAAATCACATTTAGGTTAATGTAACTCTTAAAAATTCAAATCTAACCAAATTCCACTCTAAAAAATTACATTTAGGTGAATAAAATTATTAAAAAATCACACCTGAATCAGTGTAACTCAAAAAAAAAATCAGTTTTAGGTGAGTGTAACTAAAAAAACTTAAATTTAAATAAATTCCACTCTAAAAAATGACTTTTGGTGAACACAACTCTAAAAAAAAATCACATTGAAATAAGTTTATCTCTCCAAAATATCATTTCTAGCAGAGGGCAGCAGGGTCAGGGCAAATCCAAGATTCCAGGGATGGAAAAATCCATGTAATTCCTGGGATCTGCCCAAAAAATCCCAATCTTTCAGGGGTTGGAAGCAGGAAAATGTCCTTTAATGTCGGCTTTGCTCCACTGAAATCCCACGGAACGCTCCGACTCATTCCAAGCACAGAATCCAACGGATCCTGGCACCATCCCTGCTGCTCCTTACGCAACAAAAAGTGGGGAAAAAAAGGCGAAAAACAGGGAAGAAACCCAGCTCATTCTTTGGGCTTCACGTTGGATTTGGTTGAAAGCTCCATTTGGGTTTGATTTTTCCCGGATTTTCCCCCTCGGGAAGAGGCGCCAGGGAGGCTCCGGCAGCGCCGGGAGCCGCGCGCGGGGATGGGGAAGGGAATTTGGGAAGGGTGGGATGGAGGAAGGAGAGATCAGAGGGGGAATTTGCATTTTGTGTCCTTGGAGATGTTCCCTTGGCACTCCTTGGCCCGGGCTGAAAGCTCCGGCACCCAAAATCCCGGGAAAAGGGAGTGTTCTGTTGCCATGGGGCAGGAGAAGGGATGAAAGGCCCGATGGACAGCCCTTGGAATGCTGTTGTTGTTTTCCCGGGGTTTAATGAGGCTGGCAGGGAGGTGGGATGAAGAAAGGGGAGCTCGGGGCGCTCAGGGAGCATTTCCAACCCCAAAGGGCCCCGGGCAGGGTCCTGCAGGAGCGGGGATGGGCAGGGAAAAGCGGGATTTGGGGAGCAGCTCCTGGAAATGGAGCTGGGAAAGGACGGCGGGAAAATCAGTCCTGGGGCTGCAGAGGGTCCAGGCTAGAGCGGGAACGAGGGATCCCAGGATCCCAGCCTGGTTTGGGATGGAGGGAGCCTGAGGAGATCCAGGATGAGATTCCCACCCCCAACTCCTGCCCCTGGAGCGGCTCTTGGAGCGGCCTGGGATGCTGGAAGTGTCCGTGACCATGTCAGGGCTGGGATGGGATGGATTTTGTGGGATAAACTCCTCTCCCAGGCAGAACTGGAGTTAAAGGATCTCCTCGGTGCGAGGAAAATCAGATCCTGGCACTGCAGAGATCCTGGCTGGAGCAGGAATGAGGGATCCCAGGATCCCAACCTGAACCCCATCCCAGCCCTGCCATGGTCACGGACACTTCCAGCATCCCAGGCTGCTGGGATCACCTGAGACCCTTCCCTTGTCCCCTTGGGCTGCTCAGCACATCCCACCTGAGGGCTGGGAGAGCTGGGAATGTTCCCCTGGAGAAGGGCAAAACGCAGGGAATGCTGAGAGTCCCTGCAGGGGCTCCAGGAGAGCTGGAGAGGGACTGGGGCCAAGGGCTGCAGGGCCAGGAGCCAGGGAATGGCTTCCAGTGGGAAAGGGGAGATTGGGCTGGGATCTTGGCAAGGAATTCCTGCCTGGGCTGCAATTCCCACATTTGCCATGGCTGACCCTGGATCCCTGGGAGCACCCAAGGCCAGGTTGGACAGTGGGGCTGGATCCAGCTGGGACAGTGGGAGCTGTCCCTGCCCATGGATGGGGTGGGTATGGATGGGATTTAAGTTCCTTCCCAACCAAAGAATTCCAGGATTCCCTGATCTCAGCTGAATCCAGGGAAAGGGCTCTGAATGAAGCTCATCCCTCTCACAACTTTTCCCTTTTCCCTTTCCCAGGGACACCTGCACACGAGGCCTCACTTCCACTGAGTTAATCCAAATTTTCACCCGTTTCATTCCCATTCCAACCCCCCAGGCCTTCTAAAATCCCAGAGCAGCTCCCAAATCCCCAGCCCAGCTCCTCAGGACTCCTCAGGTACGGCTTTTCCCTCCTTTTATTCCTCCAGAATTAGGAGCCATCAGTCCTAAAATTCCTTTTTGAATCATTAAAGCATTAAACAGCAAAACACTTCCAAAATCCCTGGAAAAACCCTTGGAGATGCCTGGAATGAGGGCAGCTCCTGCCCAGTGCCCCCAACGGGGTTTTTAGGGAGGAGGGATCTCTCAACCCTCCACACCCCCTTCCAAGCAAGGTTTTCCAGGGAATTCTGATCCGGGATCAAACGGTTTCGCTCCGCTCAGATCCGCCCTCCACGGAGGAATTGCTCTGATAAAGAATGAAAAAAAAAAAATCGGGATTTGGCCAAAACAATTTGACTCCCCCCAGAGAAATCTGATCAAAGCAACAATTTCAGGCTCTGAATTTCTGGAGGAACTTCCAAGCCCACACACAGGCTCGGGAAAAATCGGCTGGGCCATTCCACGCAGCTCCCATCTCCAGGAGCAGCTGCAGAATTCCTGATCCAGGAACTGCAGGATCAGGCAAGGAAAGTCAGCTCATTTCCATAGGGAACTTTGTTGGAAATAAAGACAAGCCTGCAAAACTGTGTGGGGTTTTATACAGGGGGTGAAGATACCATTCAATTATAATTAATTAATTAATTAATTAATTAATATATGTTTTTATAATCATATTACTTCATTATGTTAAATAATCATTTGTTATTATGTAATATTATGTAATAATATTATGTAATAATATTATTTATATTATTATATTATGTAAGAAATATTATTTTATAGTCTGTTTTAAGAAAAAACAAACAAACAAAACAAGATCAGCTCTTCTGCATGTGCAGCTTTGTGAAAGAAGAAATATTAATTCAGTTATTCAAAATCTTCCCAGAATATCCAATACAGGGCTTGTAATATACAGAATATATGGAATTCCATCCAGCAGGAGAACCTGGAGCTGCTGGAGAGAGCCCAGAGGAGGCCCCGGAGCTGCTCCAGGGCTGGAGCCCCTCTGCTCTGGAGCCAGGCTGGGAGAGCTGGGAATGTTCCCCTGGAGAAGGGCAAAACCCAGGGAATGCTGAGAGTCCCTGCAGGGGCTCCAGGAGAGCTGGAGAGGGACTGGGGCCAAGGGCTGCAGGGCCAGGAGCCAGGGAATGGCTTCCAGTGGGAAAGGGGAGATTGGGCTGGGATCTTGGCAAGGAATTCCTGCCTGGGCTGCAATTCCCAGATTTGCTGTGGATCTCTGGATCCCTGGGAGTGCCCAAGGCCAGGCTGGACACTGGGATTGGATCCAGCTGGGATGGTGGGAGCAGTCCCATGGATGGGGTGGAATTGATGATTTTTAAGTTCCCTTCCATCCCAATCCATTCCATGACTCCTTGAAATTCTCGCTCTGCCTGGATTCACACACGTCGCTCCTGCCCTGGCTGATATTCCCAAACCCAGGTGTCCATCCGACATTTCAATATTCAGACACATCTAAAAATCCACCTTTAGCTCCAAAAGAAGTTCCCACATTTCCTGAGCCAGAGCTCTCCCAACAATCCATCAATCCCGGATTTTTGGGATGTGCCGATGCCAGGGGAGCTCGGCAGGGACGGCTCCCCTGACACCCCCTCCAGCCCAACCTCGCCTTTTCACCCCTCCTGATTCCCAGAACAAAGGATTGATTCATCTCATCCCAAAACTTCCCTGTGCACACAACATCCAGCTCCCAATCCCATTCCCAAATCCTGCGGCAGGCACGTTCCCGGAGCTGGGAACACCCAAACCCCTCCTGCAAGCGGGGCTCAACAATCCCTGCAGAACTTTTAACCCCTGGAAGACGAGTTTTCCATGGAAACGAGCAGCCCTGGCTGCCACCAGGGACAGGAGGGTTAATTTGGGATACCAGGGTTAATTTGGAATATGAGGGTGATTTTGAGAAACAAGGATTAATTTGGGATTTCAGGGTTAATTTGGGATACAAGGATTAATTTGGGATACCAGAGTTAATTTGGGATTAATTTGGGATACAAGGATTAATTTGGGATACGAGGATTAATTTGGGATACGAGAGTTAATTTGGGATTAATTTGGGATACAAGGGTTAATTTGGGATACG